TGCCTAGGACCGGATCAACTATAAGAGTCTTTCCACTTCAGTCTTCGAAGGTGGCTACAAAGCACATGCACCTAAGTGGGAATCCAAGGACTTTAGACCTAACAAAGTCTCCGAAACTGGTAGGACTACTACCACGGCTTTGTCCCCTGAGCTGATCCGCTCCACAGCTTCGTCCTCGACTGGGATGGTGCCCAAATTGCCCGCTGGCAAAATGAATAACCGTGAGCTCAAACCCCAGCCTGACATAGTCTTGCTTCCGTTGCCCACTGCCTATGAGCTAGACAGCACAAAGCTGAAGAGCCCGCTAATAACTTCCCCCATGTTCCGTAATGTGCCCACAGCAAACCCCACGGAGCCAGGAATCAGACGGGTTCCGGGGGCCTCAGAGGTGGTCCGTGAGTCGAGCAGCACAACGGGGATGGTCGTCGGTATTGTGGCTGCTGCCGCCCTCTGCATCCTGATCCTCCTGTACGCCATGTACAAGTACAGGAACAGGGACGAGGGGTCCTATCAGGTGGATGAGACGCGGAATTACATCAGCAACTCAGCCCAGAGCAATGGCACGCTCGTGAAGGAGAAGCAGCAGAGCACAAAGAGCGGCCACAAGAAACAGAAAAACAAGGACAAAGAGTATTATGTGTAAAAATATACTTATTTATATATAAATATATATATACTTAATGAGATTTAACTGAAATATCAGAGCCGTTACAGCTAACGAGATTGGGAGCTACAGTTTGTGGGAAAAAAAATTGGGAAAAAAAATCAGCTGTGACTGTTAACGTCTCAGTCATCGCTTGGAGTCAGCAAACTCTGCCCTACTGTATTATAAAGCACACTTAGCGTTCTGGAGATGGCACACGCAGCTCTACCATGCTGACGGACTTGGAAGTCTCCACATCTCCTCTTCGCTGAACTTTCCGCAAAAGGTAGAAGATTTCATGGCTTACTTGTTTCATATCTCCAAGTGAGTCTTAATGATGTTCGTGATCTTTGACTGTATCGATCATTTTTCAGTTTACTTATTAAAAAAAAGAAAGAAAGAAAAAGAAAAAATGCATAAACATTTTAAACAAACAAACAAAAAAATCAAACAAACTGATCTGGCCGTGTCCAGCATACGTATAATTTTTCGAGATCTGAGGGAGGGGCGGGGAATAAATGGTTTTGGGGCTTGTTGGTTTTTGTTTGGTTTTGTTTGGTTTTCTTTTTGGGGGGTGGGGGATGTGAAGGGGAGAAGAGAATGGATCAGGACATGAGTCAAGAAGAAATCTGGGGGGGGGGGGGACCCACCTAATAAATAAAGAGAGACTATTGCCATATATGAACTCAAAAGCTACCCATGGTGTTCACTCTACATATCTGGTTGTGTGGTCTCTAGAATCCGTTGTCTACAGTAAGTTATTTGCTAATAGCACAGTGAAAGTGTGTAATGGGTGATAATGAAGATGATTCTTATGGAAAACTGGTCCCCCTTAGATTTGGCTCCAGTATTTGCAACTGAACTCATGAATAGATAGGATTCAGTCTGGTTTGATTGGGGTCATTGGCTTTATTTGACAATATCATTGAGTGTGCATTAACACAGCCAAACTATGGCTAAAGAAGGGGGGAGGAGGGGAAGCAAAACAAAACTGGTCAGCCATTCTGAGCTAGATATACGATGCTAAACTAAGGGAGCCTTTTCTTTGGGTTCTGGTTCTGTGACTGATTACAATGCATGCAAAAAAATTAATAATAAATCAGTTGAATAAAGAGGTCAGAAAGACAATATTGGAGTTCAACCTTTGACAAGAACCATAAACGTCACAGAAGCCAAACACATGCTGCGAACAAGTGCAAAATTCATAGGGTTTTTTTTGACATGAAGATGTTTTTCATATGTAATATTTTAATTTTGTAGCTTGACATTTCTGACTATCTCTGTCTCTCCATTTGCCCTATTCAACCTTTACTCTCTCTTTTATATAAAAGAAAAGAAATGAATAAAGCTGCTGTGACACAAAAAATAATAAAAGGAGTTAATAATAGTATTATATATATAAATATATATATATATATATATACAGATATATTTATCACCATATGTTTGATGGGACGACTGGAACAGAAACTCTGTCAAGGTGTTTACATGGAATGAGAATGTTGTTTTAGAAGAAAAACATTTTAATAATACCAACAAAAAGCAAACCATAAAAATGTGAAGAGTGTGTGTTTTAGCTTTGTCACAGTTACCTGTGTCAAAAGGATAAAAAAAAAATTCTCAGATTTTGTTTACATATTTTACTACTTTTTTTGCTAGTGTAATTTCTAGAGTACCCTGATGTATATAATGTTTTATGGTTAAACTGGGATTTTTTTTGTTTGTTTTTAGTTGATTTAATTAATCTTGGTTGTTTGGTTTTTATTTTTCCCCAATTATGTGAAAGGGAGTAACTTACTGTACAGAACAATAACCAACTGGTTTCATGGCCATGACTGTCATGTGCAAAAAAAGCAAAAGAGGGGGAGAGAGGCAAAAAGAAAAACAAACACAAAATGAATTGAGGACTCTGGAGTATCACAAATGTACAATTTCTCTGTGTACAGATGAAAACTAATCAGCTGTTTAGATTTAGAAATCTACTCTTGCTGGTGTTTATAATTCGCATGAATATTTGACTTTGAAGAAAAGTGTCATCAAATGCACACACGCACATGGGAACAAAATAAAAAGCAGCCTTCTCAAATGTTTAGAGAAGAGGCTTTCGCAGTTAACAGCTCTTTCAGTGTGTGTGTGTGTGTGTGTGTGTGTGTGAGGTTGTTTTTTGGGTGGTTTATTTTTTGTTTTGTTTTGATTTGTTTTTAAATACTAAAAAAGAAAAAAAGACAAGTTTTAAAAAGGTATGAAAGCACGATTTTAGACAACTTAACTGGCCGAACCTATCTGAAGTTGATTATTTCTCAGTGTCTGTAAAAGATTGCTGTTCTTGGAGTCTTGTGAAATGATTTCTTGCTTTCTTTCTTTCTTTCTTTCTTTCTTTTTTTACCCTCCCCCTCCTTTTTTTAAAGAAAAAAATCCCACGTTCTTTTCTGTTACTTTTTTTTGTGTAAGTTTCTATTCGACAGTTTTTTGGGAACATGTGCATTTCTGTATGTGGGCTTCTACCATACTCCTGTTGTTTTATGCAGAACCTCAAGGATATTCATTTGAATTATTGTGACGTTACTGCTTTTTTCCCCCTTCTTTCTTTCTTTTCTTCTTTTCTTATTTGCATTTTCGTTCAAGGATATGCTTAGCAATAAAATGTTCTTCCCAAAGCCCTGGATGTTGCTGTCCTTTTATTTCCAAAAGGCTCAAGAGGCACTCTAATGTTCTGTAGGTGAGATAAGCATGGTTACAGCAAAACTAGTGCAGTGTGAAAGATATTGTGGAGCTCAATCTAGCCAACCTTTATTCACCTGACTAATCAAATAAGTAGTCCCATTGAAGTCAGTGGGGATACATGGGAGAGTCAGACTTCAAAGGATTGGGTCCCTAATTATTATTCATAGTCACAAAGAAGGGCAAACCACTAGAACAAAAATTGTTTTAAAGAATAATTAGCAGTTATGGGCCAAACCCTGAGTCATTATGTAGTTTTAACTCAGTCCTTTACTCCCATGGCAGTTTTGTTGAGTAATTAGTGAGCAAGGACCTCAGGATTTGATCCACAGAAAGAATCATAGAATATCAGGGTTGGAAGGGACCTCAGGAGGTCATCTAGTCCAACCCCTTGCTCAAAGTAGGACCAATCCCCAGACAGATTTTTGCCCCAGATCCCTAAATGGCCCCCTCAAGGATTGAACTCACAACCCTGGGTTTAGCAGGCCAATGCAAGACAGGTTAAAACCTATCAGATTATTTAATCCCTTGCTCTACAGCATATTTTCTGATGCTTTGTCTAGTCCAGTTTTAAGTTTCCCCAGGGATAAGACCTTTGGAAGCTAGGTCAAATAAGAACCTTTCTTGACTATCTGATGATGTAGCTTCTCAAGGAATGTAGAGCCCCAGGTGACTGCATGATAAACAGCATCTTTCAAGTTGTTGTAAGGTACATTTCCCCCACCCCTTCCTTATAGTCTGGTTTAATTGTAAAGCAGTTTAACCAGTGGGCAATTAACTAAATTTTAAATATGGCTTAGTAGAACATAACCTTTCAACAATGAAGGACCCTGCTTGCCTACATATCCAAATGGAGACTGCATTCATGAATCATTCCTTTGTATCACCAGAACAGAGTGAGGCTATAAAGCATTGTTCCAACTGCAGCTCTCCAGAAGAGATCATTTGCCACAATCCAAGATAAGAAGATAGAGAAATGCTGATAGGAATTTGGAAAATTCAGCTGATAAAATATCAATAATATTAAATGAATAGTTATTTAACTATTTAAGGCCTTATTGCTAACCACTGAGGTTTTTCCTTTAATCAAATTATTATAGTAGCTATATGCCATGGGACTTAAAAACTCAAAGCTATTGCTAAATTTCTGGCCCAGATGGCGCTGTGGAGATGTGATGAACCCTTCCCTAATGGCAAGAACCCTGCAGAGAGAATGTAATTAGTTTTCTTTTACTGGTACATAATGGATGCTGCCATTGAGCTCAAAGCTGTAGAGTTTTGGAACTGAAGGGCCCAATGGGGACAGATTTTACCTACATGTGGATTTCACCCCATGCTAATGGAACCGCTCAGCAATTAATTGTGTGATCCTGCTCCAAATGAATTTATTTTGTGCCCCCAGCCGTTATATCAACTGCACTTGCCCAGCCCCCACAACCATTCTGAACCCTCTTTGCCCCACATATGCCCATGCCCCCCCAGCACACCTCTGCGTCTGCAGCTGTGGAGGTTCATCACCCCCAACGCAGGCTGGGGGAAGGGGGTTTGGAGCAGTTCCAGGGGATCTTCCACCCCCCCATCTTGGTGTAGTGGAAGGGCAGCTCCATGGTGGTTCTCCTCCCTCCCTTCCCAGGTCTAGTGTTGCAGCATTACCCAGCAGTGGTGGGGGGAGGAAGAGAGAGGACCCATCCCATTTCTTACAAGAGGGTGGGAGCAAAGATGCCCTGAGCTGCTGGGCTCTGTTGGCTCCCACTTCACCTTGTGTGAAAATGGTATGGGCTGCTTCCTCTTTTCCCCCTTCCCATAGCCAAAAACATTGGTTAGTTCCTCAGTGGCGGGGGGGGGGGAGGTGCTCTACCTGCCTCCTGCAGCAGCTGTTATACCCCAGGAGATGGAGATGTGTGGAAAACTTCCAGTCAGAGAGGTTTCCCCACCACACACACACACACCAGCCCTCCAAAAAAAATCACACAAAGGCAGTTGCTTCCCCTGATATCCCCAGACTGGCTCCAGCAGGGGAAAAGCACACCAGTTGCATTAAATCCCTGAGATGTGTTAACATGAGCACAATCTGTCTCAGCCAGGGCAGCACTTTCTGTCCTCGTGGACCTGCAGCTCTGCAGAGCCATCACTTGCGGGTTGGGCCAACATCCCTTATAACAGCCATAGCTGGCATGGTTTGTGTGTCTCAACCCACATAAGACATTTCTCACACACACTGCAGCAAAGCAATTGCTCTTCTCATGCACCTGTGGCCACCACCTCCTTCAGTCACTGTTGTCTTCTCTATTGCTGATTGGGAAGGAGCAGCGAGAGGGGAAGCAGAGCTGTGGCCTACAGATCCAGTGCCACAGGGGAATTCACTGCAGGGGGAACCTTGATGCCTCCCTGCTGCTCAGCAGGAATGCATGGGAAACTAGCTGGGTTGTGGGCAGCACAGGTGACAAGGTGGGGGTGAGGTATTGCAGCCATGAGTGCCATCTGAGATGCCCGATGGTAGCTTAAAATAGAGTCTATATCTGTGCCTGTCTCTTGCTTGTTTCCCTCTTCCTCCCATAATAAGCTCCCCAAGAGACGCAACATTCTCTCTTCACCCAAAAAATGTGTGTCTCCTGGAGGGAGAGACCATCCTGCATGTAGAAAAATCATCCTTTTGTCCTTGCCTCTAGCACCCTGGGTGTTCATCTCAGTGTCTTCTGTCCCAACATGTTCCATCCTTCCTCCTTTCCTTGGGCATCTACTTACATTGTCCTTCTACCAGCAGCAGATTTTATGAAGAAACAGAAAGGGTCTCTTATGTGTATAGGTATAACAGCCGTGCCACTGCAAACTGTGTGGCCTGTGTAAAGAGTTTAGAATGTAGACCAGCGTATTTATAGATACAATACAGATGAAGTTGCCCAAGGCGCTAGTCTACAATTTTTAATAGTTTCATCATTTTTGTTTAGTCGACAATTTATACAGTGTTTCCGTTATTCAGCCTTTCCTGTGGTAAATTATGCAACAGTAGAGGCCTTGGGGTCTCCTTTCACTCACACAGGTTTTACATCAGTTTAAAATGACTTCAGGATGTTATTCTTTATTTACACTAATCAAAAGTGTAAATAAAGACTTAGAGCCATTGTCTGTAGGCTTGGAGTGCCTTCTCCGTTAACACACTCGAATGATGTTTATTTCACCACACAAAGACAAAATAGGCTTTAGTATACATAGTTCGCATGGGGCTAAATACTTTCCTTAAGGTGTTTTTTAAAAGTGTCACTCACTAGGCCAAGCTAACCTGAGCCAGTGAAAAAGCAGCCGAAGAGTAGCTCTGCACGCGTTCTGCAGAGCAAGGCTTGGAACCTCTCAAAGACAGCCAGGGTTGTTATGCTCTCACAAATAGTCCTCTGCAGATCTCTGAGCCCCTTCTTTACACACACAAGGACCAAGGCAGTTACTGCTGCCCTAAGGGAGTAGCAGCTTCCATGGAATTGCTGTTGGGAAAGAGACATGACTGGAGAAGTGGATTCCCGGTTTGTTAACAAACCAGATCTTTCATTGATGGGGGGTCACAGCATGTGGCGTTGTTTGTGGCCTCTGTACCTGTTTCTTCTGAGTCTCATTTGATTAAAGCACTCTTTTTGGCACCAATGTCCTACTCCTTCAATTTCCAGCTGGGAGACTTACTCTTTGAACCCTATATCTCCTTTGAGGCCAATCAGGTAAGAGGCCCCTCCCGCTCTGTGCCAAGCAAAATCCTCCCAGGACCTTTTGGGAAAACCCTGCACATGACTTTCCCAAATGAACAGGTGTGTTAGGTCCAGCCATCAGCAACGGGATAGAGTTGGCTGATCACATTTTTCAGACAGAGTTAGGGTCACCAGATGTCCTGATTTGGGGGGGCTTTTTCTTATATAGGCACCTATTACCTCCCACCCCCATTCCCATTTTTTACACTTGCTCTCTGGTCACCCTATACAGAGTTTAAAACTCTAGTGCTCTAGTGTGCCCAGGAGTTATGTGTAGATTGCCCTGGATAAAGCCCTGGTTGGAGAGCTGAAAGTTCCCCTCGCCCCCGCAAGAGGGAAATTTGGAGGAAACAAAGTAAAGTGTGCTACTAAAGATAAAAGCTCTATAAATACAATTATTAATAGTGCTATAGGCTTGGGGCTTCCTGAAAACTCCATGCTGAGACAGTGGCATTTGAATTGCATGACACAAAGAGGCTATTAAATGCCCGAAAGACTGGACCAGAAAATGGGACTGACTCACACCATGGAATGAGAGAGACAAACAGGAAAAGCAAAAGCACCAGAGAGCATCAGTCATGATAGCTCATTGATTTCCTTGCCATAAGTAAAGTTCTGCACTGTTCTCAATGTCATGGTTTGGATCAGTAATTTATAGTCCTCATAAAAACTGGAGGTAACAGCAGGCCTTTGAGAGGGAGGAAAGGGCGAGGGAAAAGTTGAGACAGAAGACATCTCATTCTGAAAGGAACAATATCTATCTTATTATTTTAGAGGTAATTGAAGGAAGAACTAGAGCATGTGCATGGTTCACTTCTCTCACACACGCTCTAAAATAATGAAAGGTTGCATACAAATGGTTTAGTAAAAACCATGTACTCTGGTCAGGCACATAAAAGTTAAGAAATGCTAGCATGAAGGTTGCCTGTTTACCCTTTATTTGCGTTCCCCTCCCTCCCATTCACTGAACTCTGAATTAGGGTATCGAGTGCCTGACTAACATTAATTTAGGGCCACATATCCACTTGGGATAAAAGACTTATCACCCTTTTACAGATGGGGAAGCTGAGACCAAAATACCTGAGGCCACTCATAAAATCAGTGGCAGCACCAGGATTAGAATTCAGACACTGCTAATTCCTTGCCCTAGCTTCATGCCTCCAAATTTCACCGTGTTACTATTGGAACATCCATCAACTGCAGCT